AAAGATAACATTGGGGGGGGGGGGGGGGAAAGAGTATACCAACTTCTCATCTCAGTATTTTCAGCTCCAACCAGATTCAACAAGGTCCATTACCTCATCAAAGCCAGCATCCTGCAGCTCTTGCAGCATGTGTCTGTTGATATCTGCAGCGTGTCCGCTGGAGGTAGTTTCATTAGCAAATGGCATGAGTGACCTGCGGATCTCCTGCAGTGCTCTGTGATGGTGGGGGTTCCTGGGGTTGTTGCTGCGCCCTTGTTGTCTGGGATCGTCCGGCGGTCCCTTCCCAACGCTCACGTCGGTTTTGGGAACATCTGATGACCGGGAGAGGTTCCGCAAGCTCTCTCGGATCTCCTGCAGCATTTGTTGACTATTGCCACTGTAGTTGCTCGCAGGGAACGTGTTGGGTCGCATTTGTCTGTATCCCTCGGGTTTCTCGCCCCTCTTCATGTGAAGAGTCTCCTGGGTGGAAGAGTGAAACTGCCTGGATTTCAATATTTCACCTGCACACTAGTCAGTGCATCAGTAAACATGCATGAGGGAACACAGAAGAATTGTTATAATCATCAATACAACTTCAGTTGCATGATTAAAGCTTGTAACAGCTACATGGTGATCCTCAAAAAAGTAATAATAATGAAACAACAAAAGTGTTGTCTAGGTAACGTTAGGCATCTCTACAGGTTTTGAAACACAGTCGTGGTGTCCAATTGATTCAGGCACTGCTAACTCAGTTAGGCCTGAAACTGCTGAAGAGTGCAGAAGTACTGCCACATAAAGCCCTTAAAACTTTAAACATTATTCATACTGCATATTACCATATTAAAGCTGATAAATCATTTATGAATCGGTACAACAGGTGACTGAGGCCTAAAGCTGAGGCGATAGCATAGTGCTACCATACTCCGTATAAAAACGAATTACATTCACTTACCATTTAATGTTGGTGAGGCATCGTGTTTGGACATGTATAGCCCCCTGCGAGCTTTAAACCGCGAACACCTCCTCTGCTGTGTCTGACAGATGCATGTATTTGCTGAAGGACCGTCTGCTTCTCTTTGGTATTTACTGTCGTCTTGAGTTTAACAACGGTTGTCATGCGCGTCACAAAAGCCCGGATGTTGTAAACCGCCCTCTTCGAGAGCTCCGCCCCCAGAGGAGCCTGACGAGACGAGAGGCCCTTCTGTGTGAATGCGAGTGGAAGAGATGCGTCAACTGCTTTCGAGTGGACACAGTTTGTTACATAATAAATGTACCTCTTAACCGTGGTTCGTGTTCGACATGTTTGCATAACATATTCATTTTAGAGTAAGCTATATTTGTAGTTCACTATGAAAAATAGATATTATAAATGATAAATATTTTTTTTTTTTGCAACAGGTGGGAATTAATTTATGCTGCTATGCCTGAGTCTCAGAGCCCCTCATCTATGGTCTGTCCTCATCCTAATGGTAGTATGCTTATTCTCAGTAAACAGTGCCATTTCTGACTGCGTGTGTTGTCCTCTTATACATTATGGGGACCAAATGTCCTCACAATGATAGTAATACCAGTCAATTTTGACTTTGTGGGGACATTTTTTGGTCCCCATGAGGAAACAAGCTTATAAATCATACAGAACGACGTTTTTTGAAAATCTAAAAATGCATAAAGTTTTGTGTGAGGTGCAGAGTTAGGGTAAGGGGATAGAAAATACAGTTCGTACAGTATAAAAACCATTACCCCTATGGAATGTCCCCATAAAACATGGAAACCCAACGTGTGTGTGCGTGCGCGCGCATGTTTATGTGATTTATGAGGACACACATTTGTATAATGGCATGGGTATTACAATGTGAAGGTGGTTTATGAGGACTCTTCCTGTGTCCCCAAAATTCAAAAGGCTTAAAAACATACTAAATGGTGTTTTCTTTTCTTTTTTTTATCTAATAATGCGTAAAGTCTTCTGTGAGGGCTAGGTTTAGGTGTAGGGTTGATGTAGGTAAAGTTTGTACAGTATAAAAACCATTACGCCTATGGAGAGTCCCCGTAAACCATAAAAACCAACATGTGTGTGTGTTTATTTTGTCACTTCAATTCAAAAGGTTATAAAATGTAAATACTTTTCTTAGATTCAGGCCCAAACACTATCAGAACTATAAGGCACCCAAATACTATTTTCATATTATTGCTCAATAAATACGGTATTTTCAATAGCCTATTCAAGATTTTTTAAAGGTTCCTAAATATGTAGTCACAACATTGTAATGTAGCACTTTTAATACTCGTTCATCAATAATATTGTGTTAATTTTTGGTGTTCCTAATACAACAGCTGTGGGAGTGACTGTAAATTTGACATAATTTTCTCTTCTGACTGCTGTTATCAATCTCAATCAAATTTTTGAAATTCGTGAAACACTATTGTGGAGTTTTTCTATTGCTATTTGAGCAAAGGGGAACACACAAAAAAAATATTTAATGTAGTCTCCTGTTCACTGTTATAGTTTACCCAACTTCTGAGAAATTTCGGCTTCTGTGAAACCCAGAAATATGAAAAACGGTCCATTAGAAGACTAAGCACAGTGTTCTCCTCAGTTAAGGTGTTTACATGAAGGCTTTTCAGTCCGATTACAAATTAGCTCCAACCCTAATGAAACACACCTGAACCAGCTAATCAAGCTCTTATAGGCATACTAGAAACTTCCAGTCAGGTGTGTTGAGGCAAGTTGGAGCTAAACTCTGCAGGACACCGGCCCTCCAGGACCGAGTTTGGACAGCCCTGGTCTAAACCCACTGGTACTACTGGGATAAGAGCCAGAAAAATATGAACAAAAACTTGAGTGCACCTTTAGAAAACAAAAGCTTGGCTCAACAAAACCTTAAAAAAATTTTTTTTTTGAAGTCTGACAGCATTGCCCTGTTTCCACTCATCCATGTATTAAGATGCAAGTAGTTAGCCGAGCATCTCAAATGCATCTCCTTTGATCACTTGTGATGAGATTTCACCAAGAAAGATTTGAAAGGAGGCAAATTAAAATGGATAAAGAGGGCAGCTGTACTATAATACTTACTGTACTATAAATCCTGGCTTTGGTTTAAGACACATAGGCCACGTGCACACTGTAAAGTTTCATGAGTGACAACTGCATTTAAATACGGGAGTGAATCCCCTAAATTATAACTTTGTGTGTGTACGAAACAGAACTGCGGAAGTTTGTCCACTTATTATGTCTCTTGGGGCTCATAAAGCGATGCAGTTTATGCAGTTAATGGCAGGTGCAGGTCACACGATTTTGGTTTGTGGCTTATTTCCAAGATAACACACGCTGGGCTTATTCTTATTTGCCATTTCTTTATAGCAAGATCCGGCAACAAAAATAAGTAAAAAAACCTTAAAAAAATTTTTTTTTTGAAGTCTGACAGCATTGCCCTGTTTCCACTCATCCATGTATTAAGATGCAAGTAGTTAGCCGAGCATCTCAAATGCATCTCCTTTGATCACTTGTGATGAGATTTCACCAAGAAAGATTTGAAAGGAGGCAAATTAAAATGGATAAAGAGGGCAGCTGTACTATAATACTTACTGTACTATAAATCCTGGCTTTGGTTTAAGACACATAGGCCACATGCACACTGTAAAGTTTCATGAGTGACAACTGCATTTAAATACGGGAGTGAATCCCCTAAATTATAACTTTGTGTGTGTACGAAACAGAACTGCGGAAGTTTGTCCACTTATTATGTCTCTTGGGGCTCATAAAGCGATGCAGTTTATGCAGTTAATGGCAGGTGCAGGTCACACGATTTTGGTTTGTGGCTTATTTCCAAGATAACACATGCTGGGCTTATTCTTATTTGCCATTTCTTTATAGCAAGATCCGGCAACAAAAATAAGTAAAAACATACAGTGCTGCTTGAAAGTTTGTGAACCCTTTACAATTGTCTATATTTCTGCATAAATAAGACCCAATTCATCATCAGATGTCCTGAAAGTAGACAAAGAGAACCCAATCAAACAAATTAAGATAAAAATATTTTCTTTGTCATTTATTTACTGAGATAAATGACCCAGTGTTACATTTCTGTATGATTAGCTGTTAATTTGAGGGTGAAATTAGAGTCCATCTGTTTTCAAACAGTGGAATGACTATCAGGTGTCATTGCCTGCCCTGATTTATTTAGAGAACAAGGATCTTTGAAAGTCTGATCATGTTTGCGGAAGTGAATCATTGCACGAACAAAGGAGATCTCAGAGGACCTCAGAAAAAGAGTTGTTGTTGCTCATCAGGCTAGAAAAGGTTACAAAACCATCTCTAAAGTGTTTGGACTCCACAAATCCACAGTCAGACAGATTGTGTAGAAATGGAGGAGATTCAAGATCACTGTTACCCTCCCAAGAAGCGGTCGCCCAACAAAGATCACTCCAAAAGCAAGACTTGTAATAGTCTGCGAGGTTGCAAAGGAACCCAGGGTAACTTCTAAGCAACTAAAGGCCTTTCTCACATTGGCTAATGTTCATGTGTCCACCATCAGGAGAACACTGAGCAACCATGGACACCAATGGTAGAGTCACAAGAAGAAAGCCACTGCTCTCCAAAAAGAAAACCGCTGCCCGTCTGCAGCTTGCTAAAGATCATGTGGACAAGCCGGAGGACTATTGGAGAAATGTTTTGTGGATGGATGAGACCAAAATATAATTTTTTGGTTTATATGAGAAGTGTTCTGTTTGGAGAAAAGAAAAAGTGTTCTGTTTGCATTCCAGCATAAGAACCTTATCCCATCTGCGAAACATGGTGGTGGTAGTATCTTGGTTTGGGCCTTTTTTGCTGCATCTGGGCCAGGACGACTTACCATCATTGATGGAACAATGAATTCTGAATTATACCATCAAATTCTGAAGGAAAATGTCAGGACATCTGTCCGAGAACTGAGTCTCAAGAGAAAGTGGGACATGCATCTAGAACCCGTCAAGATAACAACTTTTTGTTGTGCGATATATTGCCCCAGAAATAATTGCGATAAACGATATCGGCAACAAAAATAAGTAAAAACATACAGTGCTGCTTGAAAGTTTGTGAACCCTTTACAATTTTCTATATTTCTGCAAACATATGACCCAATTCATCATCAGATTTTCGCTCAAGTCCTGAAAGTAGACATAGAGAACCCAATCAAACAAATGAGACAAAAATATTTTCTTTGTCATTCATTTATTGAGAAAAATGACCCAGTGTTACATTTACTGTATGTGCGGTGCAAAAGTATGTGAATTTCTATAATTAAAAAATGTTAATTTGAAGGTGAAATTAGAGTCCATCTGTTCAGAGGTGTTTTCAAACAGTGGAATGACTATCAGGTGTCATTGCCTGCCCTGATTTATTTAGAGAACAAGGATCTTTGAAAGTCTGATCATGTTTGCGGAAGTGAATCATTGCACGAACAAAGGAGATCTCAGAGGACCTCAGAAAAAGAGTTGTTGTTGCTCATCAGGCTAGAAAAGGTTACAAAACCATCTCTAAAGTGTTTGGACTCCACAAATCCACAGTCAGACAGATTGTGTAGAAATGGAGGAGATTCAAGATCACTGTTACCCTCCCAAGAAGCGGTCGCCCAACAAAGATCACTCCAAAAGCAAGACTTGTAATAGTCTGCGAGGTTGCAAAGGAACCCAGGGTAACTTCTAAGCAACTAAAGGCCTTTCTCACATTGGCTAATGTTCATGTGTCCACCATCAGGAGAACACTGAGCAACCATGGACACCAATGGTAGAGTCGCAAGAAGAAAGCCACTGCTCTCCAAAAAGAAAACCGCTGCCCGTCTGCAGCTTGCTAAAGATCATGTGGACAAGCCGGAGGACTATTGGAGAAATGTTTTGTGGATGGATGAGACCAAAATATAATTTTTTGGTTTATATGAGAAGTGTTCTGTTTGGAGAAAAGAAAAAGTGTTCTGTTTGCATTCCAGCATAAGAACCTTATCCCATCTGCGAAACATGGTGGTGGTAGTATCTTGGTTTGGGCCTTTTTTGCTGCATCTGGGCCAGGACGACTTACCATCATTGATGGAACAATGAATTCTGAATTATACCATCAAATTCTGAAGGAAAATGTCAGGACATCTGTCCGAGAACTGAGTCTCAAGAGAAAGTGGGACATGCATCTAGAACCCGTCAAGATAACAACTTTTTGTTGTGCGATATATTGCCCCAGAAATAATTGCGATAAACGATATTATTGTCATTTTAAAGACCATGTTATGCCACTGAATATATAATCATAATGTAACAGCATAATAATGCAAGAAGGCCAACACACTTCCAAATGACAACAAACTTTGAATTTTTAAGAATATTCAGATCATGAATGATAAAAAAACCTGAATAAATAAATAAACATTTTCTAACAAAAAGTGCAAAGTAACAAGTAGGAAAAAAAAGAAAAATTCACGAATAACTTGGAGATGGAGATTTTTCCATCTACAGATTTTTCCCTGACCTTCTTTTTCTCTGTAAATGAAGGGTGCACACTATTGCTGAAACACACAAGCACTACTCGTAATCATAATGTAACAGCATAATAATGCAAGAAGGCCAACACACTTCCAAATGACAACAAACTTTGAATTTTTAAGAATATTCAGATCATGAATGATAAAAAAACCTGAATAAATAAATAAACATTTTCTAACAAAAAGTGCAAAGTAACAAGTAGGAAAAAAAAGAAAAATTCACGAATAACTTGGAGATGGAGATTTTTCCATCTACAGATTTTTCCCTGACCTTCTTTTTCTCTGTAAATGAAGGGTGCACACTATTGCTGAAACACACAAGCACTACTCGGCAGTCAGATGTCTGTATGCACAGAGGCACAGATCCCTAAACAAGACCATATCTGCAGATTCAACTTTTTTTTTGTAGAAGTATTTTTTTATTTTAACTAGCACTTCATGACTACACCACGTTATGTACGAGAAGCTGCAGAAGACACAGGCGCAAGCGGAATGTACAAAACACGGTGACATTCATTTTTAAGTAAATATAATGGACGATATATTGCGTCACCAAAAATTATTGAGGTCATATACATATATTGCGTGACAAGTCGATATATTGATTATTGCGACAGGCCTACATGCATCAAGACAACGACCCCAAGCACACAAGTCATTTTACCAAAGGATGGTTAAAGAAGAACAAAGTTAATGTTTTGAATGGCCAAGTCAGAGTCTGGACCTTAATTCAATTGAAATGTTGTGGAAGGAGCTGATGCAAGCAGTTCATAGGAGGAAACCCACAAACATCACAGAGTTGAAGTGGTTCTGTACTTGTTTGATTGCGTTCTCTTTGTCTACTTTCAGGACTTGATGATGAATTGGGCCGTATTTATGCAGAAATATAAAAAATTGTAAAGGGTTCAAACTTTCAAGCAGCACTGTACCTTGTTCACTATGACTTCTTGCACCGGACATTCAGAGGAAAGACAACTCTGATATGCATTTAAATACGTCATTACAAACTCATTTTTGTAGTTTAGTTCCATAGACACCATGTAAAATTTTGGTAAATGCGGTTGTCACTACCAGAATTTTGTGGGAGAATTTTTCAGTAGTACAATGCAGTTGTCACTCCCATAAATTATTGAACTGTGTGTGTACAAAACATGACTAAACAGTAAAATGCCAATTGACAACCAAATCTAGCTGCAGTGTACACGGCATATATAAGACATGACTCGGCCAGCTGTACATGGATCTGGTTGTTATATATGGTAATCTAATTGATCTACATCAGCATGTGGAAATTTGTCACACGTGAGCAAACAATCATGAATGAGATGTGGATGTAGCAATTTGTTTAAAAATTCATATATGGGAATATTTTTTTTCCCTTTGTTTTGTTTTGCAGAGACACATTTACAGGGTCAAGTGTAACTGTAATGTGCATACCAACCAAATCAGATAATCTGATCAATAAAAATATTTAAGATAAAAATCAGACAGCCACATTGTTATTAATATTACTACAGTTGTGATGGAGTTTTGGCTTACTCTGTAGGAGTGTGCTCATGTCTGATCCTGAAGTCGTCTCCCAGTGTAGCAGAGAACCATCCTCTGAACACGTAAACAAGTGATTGGGGTTTGATGGATGAAAATGTACTTCCCACACTGTAGAGAAACAGATCAGAATCAGTGCTGCTGACCACTTATCAGGTTTTTGACATTTAAGCTTTAACACTATAAAATATTGACATTTCACATGAACAGGATAACATGGTTTATTTTCTGTCCTTGTTAATAATATCAGTTGCTTGCTAATTTAAACTGGACAATACTAAACTAATAAATAAGGTTATTTCTACTGTATATCTTGTGCAATATCTCTTAAGCAACCAGGTATCTTTCTGGTGACTGTGTTAGTAATCAAAAATGTTTAAAGTTGTGATGACACGGAAGCAGCGACAGATATTTTCTTTCATATTGTGACGTACATCAAAATGAAACAGATTATCGAAAAAGAAAATTGCAGGGCGGGGACTTGGTTCTATGCATCAGTTGTTGATTGGATTTTGAGATGCGGGTGTCTTATTCACTGGAAGGTCCAGTTATGACTGCTTAATAAACATTGCGAGGTCAAAACACTAAAAAAAAAAAAAAATACAAAAAAAAAAAGACAGAAAGAAAAAGAAATGCATGCACGGATGAATTGCCGTCATGCCGACTTTCAGTTTAAGAGCATCATTCTGAATGTCTATTACAAGTGTTTACAAAACTCACTTTCCGCTGAATGGGCCTCTATGAGAGAGAAGGGTGTATTGCCCTGTCTCACATCCCAGATACACAGCATCCCATCCTGTCCTCCAGTGGCCACGATGTGCTGCTGGTTTGGGTGTTTATCCACACAGTGCAAGGGCACTCTGTCCCCAGTGCTGCATGAGCAGTAAAAAAAAAAAATATGAGCAAAGAAAAGAAACCAACTTTTCGACGTCCTCTCTAGAATGCTGGCAAATAAGCTTGGGTAGAAATAGTTACTTATTTTTTATTGCCATGTCATCATCTAAGACTTCATGGCAAAAAATGAGCTACAATAATAGAAGAGTTGCATAAACACAAAATAAAAACCAAGCAAACAGAAAAAGACAGCAGATAAAATGATACAAGATTTGTTTTAATTAACATATCAAAAAAATTTTAAAATCTAAATAAGCTTGGGTAATTTCTTATCTTAAGATGTTAAAACATTGACGGGAAAATCTGTCAATGTTGTGTTTTTTGGAACAAGTAATCAGCAATTTGTTAAAGTGGTCACTGAGAATTGTAATGAGAATTTGGAAAATAATAATTTCACAATGGTTCAAGAAAATAGTATTTTCTTCATGCAAAATATGATTCCTTGACTTGTTCTTATTGGTTTTATGGAGATTCAAATGAATATAGTTTTTCTTCATAGAATAATACTAATGTTTTTTGACTAATGTGAGTGAATCATACAGAGAGAGAATTTGTGCAGGACTGTCGCTCTGCTGTCTGAAGTCCCACATCTTCAGCTGACCGATGGAGTTAACCGTGAGAACTTCAGTCGTCCTTAGAAAAGTCACGGCATGAATCGTACTGCTATCTGCATTTTCTGTTGAAAGGCAATAACACAGTCCTGTCAGACCTACTCATATGCATTACAGCTCAAATGCAATTAAAGCGTAAGTTAACCCAAAAATGAACGTTATGTCTTGATTTACCCTCATATCCAAAGACTTACTTTTTTTGAGTGAAACGCAAAAATTAAAGGAGACATCGGATGAAATGAATGAAACCGTTTATATATAAAAATCTTTGTCTGTGCTACAAAGAAAGCCAGAAAACACTTACCAATAACACGGACAACTTCAGTCTGATCTGCCTTGTAAAGAGTAACCCGGCCGTCCTCACCCACTGACACTAGTTCAGGGCTTCTGCACACTACTGCAGTGCAGGGTGCATTATCACAAGGATATCGATGAGCCCTCTCCCACACATGAGCCAGCGAAAGAGCCTGAACGCCACAATCACAATGGTCAGACTCTGCTGTGCATCATGAAATTGATCAGACTGATGCAAATATCAAACAAACAAAACACTTACCTGACAGTCAGGCTGAAGCTTAAAGATCGTCACAGCTCCGCTTGATGATGCAGAAACGAGCCGGTCTTGATCTAGAAACTACACAGATTATGCAAAGGACGGTTTTATTTGAATCAGACTAGTCCACAAATTAAAGAAAGACCTCAGACCTCTTTTCTGACTACAAATGACGAAATGCATCGCATGCTGCATTTAAAACATGGTTTGAAACTGTTATGAAGAGGTTTAGGCCTAAATTTTGGATTTAGATCTAGAGTTTCATGTGATAATAAAGATATATGACTGAAGATAAGAGAATGAGCAGAACATAAAAGCTATTCAGTACCATCTATTAATACTCAAGCGATGATATTATTAGTTTAGCAACTACTATTTGAGATACAGTGGGTAAATCCCTGCAGAAAAAAAGAAAAAACACCTGTGCTAAAACCAGCCTAAGCTGGTTGGCTAATCTTAGCTGGTTTTAGCTGGTCTCTGAGCCTGACCAGCGAAAGAAGTGGCAAAAACCCCTCTAAAACCAGTCTGCTGACCAGCTAAAACCAACCAGCTTAGACTGGTTTTAGCTGGTTTTTTCAGCAGGGATATTTTCCAAACATGCAGGCCGTAACGGTTGCAACAGTGACTCCTTTTATTATAGTTTTTCTCCCAATACAAATATTTCACATATTATTTAAAAGTAATTTTCTGTATAAAAAAAATTGATTTGTACTTTTTTTTTTAAAGGGGTCACATGATGCTGCTAAAAAGAACATTATTTTGTGTATTTGGTGTAATGAAATATGTTTATGCGGTTTAAGGTTAAAAAAACAAAACATTATTTTCCACATACTGTACATTATTGTTCCTCCTCTATGCCCCGCCTTTCTGAAACGCGTCGATTTTTACAAAGCTCATCGGTCTGAAAAGCGAGGTGTGCTGTGATTGGCCAGCTATCCAGTGCGTTGTGATTGGCTGAATACCTCAAGCGTGTGACAGAAATGTTACGCCCCTCACCATACTGTGATGCCCTGTCCGGCCGGAGCGACGAGACAAAAACATTAAAACCCATTATAAACGAGGCATTTGTTGCATCCAGTGGGGACATAATTACTGATTATAATGACTTATACTGTCTTTTTACACGTTGCATCGCGCCGCATAAACATAAAACTATGTCTGCATTTGTGATCGGAGAAATGACAAACAACAAGCGCTACTCTACACTGCCCAAAACTCACGTTTGAATCATCAGTGGCAACGAAAAACACAGAGGCCTTGCGTGAGGGGAAGCCCCGGCTGTAGATGTATTTCCTCAGCGACCAGCACAGATCAGCTCCAGGCATGACGAAGCGGATATCGTCCTCTTTTGGAAGACCAAACAAAGTAGTTTCGCTTTCACAACAAAAACACAGCGTCTTCACGACTTACTGATTATAATGACTTATACTGTCTTTTTACACGTTGCATCGCGCCGCATAAACATAAAACTATGTCTGCATTTGTGATCGGAGAAATGACAAACAACAAGCGCTACTCTACACTGCTCAAAACTCACTCACGTGAATCGTCAGTGGCAACGAAAAACACAGCGGCCTTGCGTGAGGGGAAGCCCCGGCTTAGCGTGCACTGAAATCGCATCATATGACCCTCTTTAATGCAGTGAATGGTACAGCTGCCTCAAACAAGCGCCGATTTCTGAATATTACACGTAGTTTCACACAAAGGGCAGCGCATCCAGTAACGGGTGAGCAGTGTGTGGACAGGTGGACGCTCACCTGCAGGTCCAGCACATCCCCGGCATGCTGAGAGGCGCACAGTAACTGGGGCTCTTCATCAAACTCTCCGTCTGTGCTACAGACTCCATGCTCTCCCACCGACCAGATCGACACGCTGTTACTCTGCAAACACACAATGAATCATGAGCAACAACGAAACATGAATGCGACACGCACTGCTGTAACTCATCTGGACTAGCCTCGTTGTCCCAGGATCCTGTGGCGAACACTTCAGGCTGCTGTAATAAAGCCGGAGAAATAGGCCGCCATCGCGCCTTACTGATTTTCTGCGAGATGTATTTAGCTATCGGGTCCATCGTGTCGTGTCGTTGTTTAGTTCGGCGTGCTTCACATGCAGCAATGTATCCCGCCACCTCCGCCTGCCGTGTTGTTCGCTTAGTACGGCGGCCTCTAAGGACCAAACGCGATTCGGTTTGATAAAATTGTCTTCTTCTTCTTGAAATTTTATTGGCGGTTGACAAACAACAAAAAAGTGTATTTCCGCCACCATCTGGAATGGAGTGTGGATCAAAAATTGACTTACTTCCCTATCAACCCTTTCCCCATTCATTGTTTTTTTCAACCTTTTTATTGTACTCACTTCACCTCCAGAAATACTTTGTTTGAGCCTTTCTAGATCTTCTTCGATTGGAATGCCTGTTATCACTCCCTGTTTCATTCGTCTCTCACCCAACATCTTCCTTTCATTCACTTTTTTCTTGCAAACATTATCAATTTTTAGTGCTTTGTTTTTTTGTTCTTCTGTTTTACATATTACTAACAGGCTTCCATCTCTCAAAATCTTAGCCATATCCACTTCTCCTAACTTTTTCTTCAACTCTCTAGAAAATGCTATTGGACTTAGATTAACCTGTTCATCTTCCTTTCTGAATTTAAGAATGACTTTATATTCCTCTCTTACGACCTTTTTACGTACAACCCTATTATCTTCATCTGAGCTGTTTCCTTCTAATCCCCTTTTACTGGTTTGGCTATCTACCCAACTCCCTTCATTTCGCCCACTGTTTCTTTTTTCTTGTCCTTTCCTACTACTTATTAAATTCCAGTCATCTGACTCCATTTCATCTTCATCGATTACCCCAGAACTCATCTTAATCCAGTCACAAACCAGTTTATGTCAACCGCCGTAGACTCCAAACACGACGAAGTCGATCATGAACCCACGCGGAGCTTTCGGACCTGCACCGTTTTCGATAAAATTGTCACGCTGCTGTGTTCACATTTATTTCGATTCAAAGCAGCGTCACAGAAAATATCATTTCTAACTTCCCTAGTTGTCTCAGATTTGCACGGTGCATTAATAATGTAATTTTTTAAATAAACATTATTATACTATTACCTTTTATGAAGTAAACCTCAACAAAGCAAAGGAAAAATATTGATTTTATTTTTTATTAATGCCATAAATCAGAACAGTACAATGAGAAGTATTAAGATATAAATGAGAAAAAGATAAACAACATTAATAAAACGGTGCCAGAAGATATATATATATATATATATATATAAAACTCACTTCATACAATAGCATGCCTCCTTATAATATTATGAGTTCTCATAGCCTTTTACTTGTGCAGTTACACAGGACATTACAATAAAGCTTGAAATCGTTTATAAGATAAGAAAAGTTTGGTTTGGAGCCTGACCATTTCATTTTATGAATGTGAAACCTCCCCATTAAAATGAAGAGTTGTGTGAAATATGCTTAATCTGTCTAAAATCCACAATCACTGAAGTGCATCATTATATCAGATCCACCCAACTGCAGAGAAATGTTCAGTTTCTTCTTAATAAAAAACTCCACGTCCATCCAAAATATGTTTGTATGTACGCAATTAAAACATAAAAGAAAAGAGTTTCCTTTTCGCCTTTACAGAAACCACAAGAGTAGCCCATGTCTGATTTAACGCACGTGTTTTACTGGATATATTCTATGCATTATTTTAACAAAGGCAAATATTTTATCCTTTTTTTTGTGTGGTGACGTATTAAATGACGTCACACTTCTGCGTCATGTTTAGTGACGCAATTAAAAACCAGCTGAAAGAAAACACTCGTCTGCTTGCCAGGCTGCCTTTATTCCCCTCGACTCGACCGTGATTAAAGCACTGTTTTCTCTTGACTGCTGCGTTTAGAAATAATGCACTCCGCTTTCGCGTCTAGAAGACGTGCCAGATCTGCCGCAGTGACCGCACGCGACGCCTGACGCAGCGGGGATGGACGTGAGGGCGCTGTGCGCATGCGCGGCGCTGACAGCCGCACTCTACCTGATCCGCAGAGTGTGTTTAACAATGGCCTGGAAATCCGGAGGAGCGAGCCACGCGGAGCTCGTCAACAACCTCCGCAGTGAGTTTGGCCCCTTTTGCATGATTAAAAGAGCCAAGTCAGTCATGTTTACCGTAGCACTTAGCAACGGGGCTTTGTTTACGTCGCTGTAGTGAAGGAAAGAGCGCGTCTGTGAGCTAGCATCGCGTTACAGCTGAGGGACAGTGCGCGGAGCGGTGCAGGTGGCATGCCGCCGTCTCGGCGTGGTTCGTGCGTGTGTTATTATATCAGACAAGCACCTGGTGGCTGCTGTTTATAACTTACAGTGCGCTCCGGTGCTCTTCATTCTGGTCAGCTAACGCTAGCTGCTAGCAGTCTAACATGTGATCGTCACTCTCAAACCACCTGCAGATTGAAACGATCGTTATAATATTTACATATGATCTCATTTCGGTTTGTGTTGCTTTGACTAAACAAACGTATGGTTTTGCTCACATCCGGGACACAGCAGCAACGGTGCTAGCGTTGATCTCGCACATACTCGTTCCTGCTGGCATATACAGTTTGTATCCGATAAAGAATTAGGTAGGTTTTTCCTAAGCGCCAGATTATTCGTGTGTGTTCGAATGTGTCGTTGTTTGGTGGTCGCACGTGCAGTTTGATCCGGAGGTGTTCGGTGGGCGTGGCGCAACACATGCTGCTAATGTCATTGTGCGATGACGTCACTATGTGCTTTGAGCCTGGATATTATTATTAGTATTATTATTATTATTATTAATGCTGCGTACATTAGCCACACAATGAAATCGATGTCTAATATTGGTTTTCCCTCAAATCAAACATTATTATTATTATTAAAAATATATACTTTTGGCTTACCTGGAGAATGTATATAATTATTTATAAAATTAGTATTTAAATTTTTTTAAATAGTCCAACAGTTGGCCATTAGACAGAGAGACTAATAATACTTGTCTGGCATGTAACCCATCCTCCTGAACTCTTGGCTTTATTCTGAGGTCAAGTGGCCAGTGTGCTATATTTAGTGGTGCTTGCTGAGAGTCAAGACAAGTATCACTGTTCCTGCTACTTAGGGTTAGTGATTTGAACAAACTCCTAACTTAAACTCGTAACTTGTCCTGCCAATGCAATTCGATGGTTTCTCTCACCGTTGTGTGCTGGAACACTCTTGGTTGTATCATGCAGTTCGTGCTTATTCACTTAGGGCTACAGAAGTAATCAAGTATTTGTTTAGTCTATTTGCATATAGACCCCTTTTTAGTGCCAACGTCACAATTATGTCACAGCATTAGCTGGAGGCAAAACAAAGGAATAACTGGAGGCGGCCCATACGAACCAGCACAGAGTTGGCTACGTAAGGCGTTTAAAATGTCATCTTGTTGTGTTGTTGAGTGTCAGAATCGATGGAGTAGTACAGGCTCCAATTTGACATTTTATCGCATACCAGCTGCCACTGCCAGACAAAAAAAAACCAGACGACAGCTGTGGTTAAAGGCAATAAAACGAGTGGACTGGACAGAAACGATCATCAAAAATGCTCGCGTTTGCAGCGCACACTTCATATCAGTTAAGGTTAAATAAACGGTTGTCTTTTATGGATTAAGGTTTTGGTTACGAGTCTAAAGAGTTCTCATTCATGCCCATCTAATCAGACGTTAACTAACGACCAGAGACATTTACATTTAATCATTTAACTAAACATTTAGACTAAACATAAAGGAAATAGTTTGTGTCGTCTCGCTTTCTACAAGTGCCATAAGTGCAATAGTAGAGAGCGGGAACAGTGAAAGCCCATGTTGTGTGTCAGGTGTGTGTTCAAGTAGTTGCATTTGCTTACAATTTCCACAGTTAGTACATGGTTGTAGACATCTAAAGATTTAAATGCCCTTAGTTTCTGTTTACCATGCAAACTCCTGGAAGTTTCTGGCAGGTGTCTCTCAGGCCACTTCTGACAGATCGTCCATCCATTGAGTGAGTGTGTACGTGTCGGCCAATCTGGTTCCTTCCGATAATGTTAACATTTTCAAATAACAATCACCGTCCCGGACAGTGAGTGACATTACATATTCAGATAAAATCTAATTTTCTCCAGTCATTGTTAAAAAACAAGCAAACAAAACCTGCTAGCTAGCGTTAGTTAAGCAGTCAGGGGAATCTTCAGTAGCCCCTCACTGCAGAACAAGGATCCAGGGGGCGGGGTTGGATCCACATCTAGGGGGTGGAGATGGGTGGGTTTAGGTCAGGGGTAGGCAAGTTCGGTCCTAGAGAGCCGCAGTCCTGCAGAGTTCAGCTCCAACCCTGAAAAAAAACTAACCTGCCTATAGCCTTTGTAATCGTGAAGACATTGATTAGCTTGTTCAGGTGTGTCTGATTAGGGTTGGATCTGAACTCTGCAGGACTGCGGCTCTCTAGGACCGAACTTGCCTACCCCTGGTTTAGGTATATGTTAGGTGGGAGGAGTTAGATCTGGATCCAACCACGCCCCCTGGATCTTGTGTTCTGCAGTGAGGACCATCTCGGAATCTTTCTGCCTCCACCTAAGCTCCGCCCATAAAAAAAAGTCACAGTAGCCAAGATTTATCCAAATACCAGCCCCGCCTGCAATAGATGTTCGCAATCGCCTGCTACAACTGCTCATATGTTCTGGGCATGTCCAAAGTTGGAGGAGTTTTGGAGGGAGATTTTTGAATCATATAAACATATATATGATATCTTGATTGATCCTGATCCTATGATGGGTATTTTTGATGTGGTGCCTGAGGGTATAGAACTCAGGAAAGACATTTGTTCTGTTATCGCCTTCACTACACTACTGGCAAGGCGTTTAATATTATTTCAGTGGAAAAGGGCAGACCCTCCAACACATAGCAGCTGGATAAAAGAAGTAGCGTTTCACATTCAGTTGGAAAAGATGAAATAAATGATTCGAGGTTCAAAACGTACGTTTCAAGACATTTGGTTCCCCCTTCATAAGATATTTTGAACAACTTCCCTCCCTGTAAAATGGAATGATATGTGTCGGTGATATAGGGTGTGCCCCTTCTGTGAACATTTTTGTTTATTGCCATATTCATCATATTTATTAGCCATACATTTCCTTGTTGTTGTCAGGCCTTTCATGTTAAATGATAATTT